CAAAAAAAAAAAAAAAAAAAAAGTCTCAAATATAGCCTTTCAGCTTTCAGCACTTGCTTAGCCATGGCAGGATTAGTTCTAAATTTTGTTCCTCCAAGAAGGAAATCATTTTTATTCTGTCTTGAACTTAGATTATTAATATAGCTGATGAATTGTCTGTGCCTTATTCAAGTGTAATAAGCTCCATTTAAAGGAGACTCAGCTTGATATGATTTAATTTTAGTTAGTATTTAAAGGATAGTATTTCTCAGCAACTGACAGCTTGTTATTATTCACAAGGTTTAGCGTTCCCTAAATTCATTTGAAAATAGTGCATTGTATATGTTCTTCACTTTTAAAAGCAGGGATTAAAGGGGAAATCGTCCCAAAGTTAGCAAAAATTCGTGTATTGAGAATTTAAAAATTTATTCCATGAGACACTTAAGTAGTGCTAGACATATTCCAAGATTTTTGTTTGTTTTGGTAAATTGCTAAAAAGACAGTACATTATAAAATAGTCATTGTAGATACGCCTACACTTAGATGTTTTATATTCAGGAACTCTTATGGTAATCTAATTCTTTGGCTTGCTGTAAGAAAGCCCTTGCCTATAATTTCTGATATTGGTTATTTGTTTGAAAGTCAAACCTGTTAGCTCTCTGCAGTGCTGCGAATACATTACCTAGTGCGACTCTGGCTGCAGATGCATCATAGTTGATCCAAAAAGACACCCAGGAGAGAATTGTAATCAGTGTAGAAGGCATGTAGGTTTGCAAAATGAAATAACCAATGTTTCTCTTTAGGCGAAAACTTAGCGACAGTCGTGGATATGCTCCTGAGTTGAAAAACAAAAGACAAGTAATCAGACCATCATTTGGTTGGAATCATCTTCTTCCTTTCACAGCAACCCTAGTATATTTTGGGGGAAACATCCTCACCTGTTGTGAACTCCACCTTTTTAGACACCATCTTGTAGTCAACAATAGAAAACTGAGGAAGCTCAATTTTATTAACACCAGTTACTGCCCCCTCTCCTCCATTCCAGTAAAACTCAATGTCATCAGTGGTATAGCCATCTGAAACCAAGACACACAGCATGATTAAATACAGTTCAGGAAATCATTTTGAAGACCACCTGGGAGCTAGAGGAAAAATTCCCAGCAAAAGAGTGGTAAGGTGGCATTGCTTTAAATTAGGGTGGTATGCAGGTCTCATGTGGAGTGCTTGTCTGATGATTTGGTAGTAGCTGCATTGAGAAAATGGATGCATCTGGTTTTAGTGGACATAAGCTCTGGATCATTTAGTGATATCTGATGTCACTGCTGCAAATTATTCTTATGGTATCTACTAACGTGGATTCCTTGGCTAAATTGGAGGATGGCTGAATTCTAGGTGCCTGGACATGGCTTTGGCTATGTGCTATTTGACAACAACAATAACACAGCATGTAATAATAATTGAGCACATATTTGTTAAGAAGATAACAGAAAGTGTAAAGAAATAAAGTGTAATGAAAGACCAAGTTTATATATAGCCATTACATGATTAAGACATTTTAAAAAATCTCTTTCTTTTAGAAAATTTGGCAAGCTTCTGTTCATATCCTTTGATTATAGTAATATTATTATAAATATATGGGTAAAAGTCTTAGGACTATATAAATTCTTGATAATGCTTTTTATATCTTCGTACTTATGAGAATGAGCTTTAGTTAATTTAGGGGAGTGTGTAGGGAACTGTAGATTGTAATAGAAAGCTCTGGTGTCAGGTCTTGAGTATGAAGGCCCTGTGTTGATGGCCTCATCTCTTTCTCTTTCCACTCTGCTCCTACCTGGCAGTGGTCTAGCTGGTGGTCTTATCATTATGTGTAAGAGTAACTTGCATAAAAGGAATGCATGGATATATTTAAAAATCTAAAAATAATTTAAGACATACTTTAAGACCACATTTTCTTCTTTCTACAAGCTATAGACAAAGAAGATCTTTCCAAATTCATTTTCTATTTATGTTCACCTCAAATAAAAATGCATAAAATCTTTTTTCCATTAGAATTGCTAGGGCTAGTGTTTCAAAGGTAACTGTATAAAGCTCTTTGTAGTGGACATCATCCTGACCTACTTCTGATTAAAGCAAGTCATACCTTTTCAAGAGATAAAAAGTAATATATTTGATATTTAGAAGTTTAATGCCAGGTGCCAAAGGGTCAACTTGTCCTTGCAAGAATGTAAGACATTTTAAGCTATTCTTCCCCACTCCCCTTTCAAAAAAGAAAACAAAGCTGTCTTAACTTTACTGCTTTAAACTTTTCTAACTTCTCTTCAGAAAGTTCTTTTTTGAATTCTTATTTCTGAACTCATTAAACTCACAACTGTTTTATATTTGTTACCATTTGATGCTCTATGAGGTTATTGTTTATTGTAATATCTTCAGTTTATTTTATTTCTCTTTCAGTCCTCTCCTTCTAGGTCTAGGAACTTGTCCTCTTTCCAAAGGGCAATCTTCCATATCCAGTAAGCCATTCTACAATGACCCAAGTGTAGACACAGAAATAGAATATACTTACATCCAGATATAATCACCAGTGTCTGAAAGATGGATACTTTCTTTTCTATTGGACTTAGAATAACCTACATGGAACTAATTGACATATTGGGGATTTAAACCAAGTTTGCGTATGATTCTGTAATACTGATTCTAAACATCTCTTTGAGAAATTGATAAAAACCTGCCAATAAAACCCAGAGAAAAATATAGATAGAGATAGATAGATAGATAGATAGATAGAAATCAATGACAATTTCAGAAGATCATGGATCCCACTCATGGATTCTAGAATACTAGAATATGAAACTCCTTTCTAAATTGAAATGGTTAGTGGCAATATGACAGCTAAGGTTCAAGCAAGATTCCTTCCTTTCCAATTTCAATTCAACCACGGGTTACCTCTCCTAAGCCCAGCAGGAAGTAGTATCTGGGGAATGTGAGTTCTCAGCCCTGTCTGGATGCAGTGGACAATGGCATCATGAGATTTTCCCCCCTTAGCTGCTAGAGAGAACCTAGGGACTGGTGGCATGGAGTCCTTGGGTGGTGATTAGAACAGTGAGATAAAAGAAGATTGCTGGGTGCAGTGGCTCTTGGGCTTACTAAAGAAGGAAGGCTGTTACCACCCGTGTGACTGGAGGAACTTCTGTCATTTCGGTGCTTTAAGGGGATGTGGGGAAGTTAAAAAGGTGGGCTGGGAAATCACCATACTGTTTTCCATAGATGTTGTGCTAATTTACATTCCCACCAACAGAGCATAAACGTTTTCTTTTCACAACTTCTATTGTTTTTTGACTTTTAAAAAATACAATTCGATTTAGCAATCCCACTACTGGGTATCTACTCAAAGGAAAAGAAGTCACTATATAAGAAAGACTGCATGCATACATTTATCACAACACAATTTACAATTGCAAATACATGGAGCCAACCTAAGTGTCCACCAACTGATGAGTGTATAAGAAAAGTGTGGCATATATACACCATGGAATACTACTCAACCATAAACAAGAATAAAATAATGTCTTTTGCAGCAACTTGGATGGAGCTGGAGGCCGTTATCCTATATGAAGTAACTCAGGAGCAGAAAACCAAATATTGCATGTTCTCATTTATAAGTGAGAGCTAAGCGATGGGTAGGCAAAGGCATAGAGAGTGGTATAAGGAATGTTTGAGACTCCAAAGTGGGAGCCTGGGAGGGGTGTAAGGGATTAAAAAAATCACTATTTGGGT